TAGTCATTTATATTAGAAAATCTAAATATAGTTGTGCACAGTGTACTACTGAAAATTAGGAAAATCAAGATATATAACCACTGTTATAAAATAGTAAACAAGTATTATTTAGTAAGAATTATGTAAACTAATTGTAAATATTATTTTTTAAATTAACTGCAAAGCGTATTGTAAACTGTAAACTGTATTGCATAATCATTAAAACAGACACGAGCAAATAATGTCGTTATGTAGGTACTTCACAGTTCATACTGTAGTTGTTGTAATTTGTATTGTTGTAAACTGTAATATATCATAATATAATAAATGTAACTATACCTATTACAGTATATATACACTTAATAGTATAAACAAATATCCACAATCGTTAACAATATAATGGAAATTAGGATTTTTATCCAAAATAACGAACTCTACAGAAACGAAATAATTGTTTGATAATAAATATTTGTATATCATAAGGACATTTATATTTTTACAACATTCATTGTATGTTGAAAAATATAACAATTATGAAACCCAGATTTCAATAGTTATCATCGATATTATTATTCATCTTTTGATCTATTCATATTCAATTGCACACCTAGTGAGTATACAAAGAGCATAATAATTGTGTTCAAATAAATTCGCCTTTAGCGGCACGTGGCATTCCATTGAAAACGCCGAAAGCTCAAATACAAACGCCCTCTTCATCAAGGTATGTATATTATTTGAGCAGCATTATATCCAAAGTGGAAAGGTTTCTCGCACATATGATTATAACAAACGTGATATTTCGCAGTTTTCAACCTTGGCGGGTAAAAGAAAACACACACGACTTAGAGRGTAAATTCGTTTGTAAAGGCCACAATAACGCGGTCGTCTTTTTGTCATGTTATTTTATTTCCGAGTACCTGCCTATACAAAGAAAAAGCACAAAAAGAAAAAATATGAAATACCAGATATGACACATGACACTCGTATGCGGCTTACACGAAATACGCGTTTGGTTTGTGGACTTTTACTATTATATTTTTCCAACTAAATAATCATATTTTATTGATAAATCAATTCAAATGATGCGAAAAAAAATGGATGCATAATAGGATTATATAGTTACAAGTTGCAATCTATTTACCTTGTTGTACGCCATAAAGACTGCTGTGTTTATCTCCAATAAATTGATGTTCCGAGCGCATACTGTTTCTGATAGCTGTCATTCTTAGCAGTATTGGAGCTGATATATCTGGTATAACATCTTCGTTTCGTACCGAATTTCTACTCCGAAACAATACCATTTTATAATCTAAAAATATATTAAATAAATTATACCTATTACGAATTGATTAGTAATAACAATAACAGTCCAACTAGGTACTGTAATTTTAATTTTAAGGCCTCAACTTTAMTATTATGTTGTTGATTAATTTTTTGATAAAAAAATTTATACAATTATACATGAGCGTAATTTCTCAATAAAAATAAAAAAAATTATTTCAATTCAAAAATTAATTATGAGTCAAATGTCTGAAATAAATATTACTTGCTAATAATATTAAAGTAAATAAAATGTTTTGTACAAATAAATTTTATGATATTAGGTATCCTATTCAATGTAATCACAAATTAAATAAACAGTTCTATATTTTATACAAATTTAAAATGCTTATAATAATAATAATGATAATTGTTAAATAATGTTTAAGATTTATTTGAGATTCTGAGTCGAGTGATGAATGTATTGATTTAACAAATATGATAGGACTGTATCCGAATTGCACGCCAAAAAAAAAAAAAAA